AGAACCGTTAAGACCGGCCCACCAGGCCCGTTAGGACCGCGGGCCCGGTCCGGTCCGGTTCAGGCCCGGCCCACCAAGCAGCATTAGTCGGATCACTAATTCATTGTGCTCTATTCAAGTTTGCATTAAGACGATTCATTATAGTCAGAGTATTTAAGTTGGTTGCTAAGTAGTAAGCACCACAATTCTCTTCCTTTATTTGAGCATGATCGGCTAATCTTTTTGGAGCACTCATAGCTACAACTACACTTATTTACAACCTTGAATGCATGATGTGTGGCCAAATATGTTAGGATAAAAGACGTGCATTATTTATGTTTATGTTTTAAGGTCAACCGATATGAAATTTTCATGAACTGACGGTGTATTTAACCCCACCCCAGCCTCAAAATGCTCCGTTCCTGATTCAGGAAATCAGTCATTCACACTCAGGTTCCAAGTCATGCATATATTTGTCACAATTCATGCATATTTCTTCTAGTAGAATAAACTCGGGTAACTGAGAAACAGGGTATCTACAACCCAAAAAAAGAAAAAGAGAAACACACAGGGAATAACACCGAAGAATTCAAACTCGTGAAAGAAGTTAAATAAATTGACAGTAAGAACAAGTCATGTTTTCAATATGTTAGACCAGGATGAACTTCCCAGCGCGAATGAGGATACAATCAAACAGCTACTGCAGCTTTATCAACTTCAAGTTTCTGAGGGGTATCTGTTGCGACTGTGGTTTTAACCTCTGATGCATCCTCATAAGCAGCTGCATGAACACCGAGTGCAGCTCGTCCAGATGGATCTAGATTCTTGGACCAAGCTGCGTCCCATTCTACTGCTTTTGCAGTGCTGCATGCCACACTTGGACCACCTGGAACTGTTTCCCTCGCAGCATTCTGCTCCAAATAATAGTTATCAATGTGATTACCTTTATCAACAAATATGAAGATAGAAGCGACCTTGTTAACAGAAGGAAGAAAAAGAAAACATTGTTTGGGACAAAATATCAAAAATTGAACATGAATAACAAGGAAAAGAAGACTATCTAAGACCCACCTTGGGGAAATATCGCTCAAAAATAGTTCTATAGTAGTATCCTTCCTTTGTCGTGGGTGTGTTATGCGGGTAAACGAAACTTGCATTCGCTAACATAGAATCAGAAACCTGGACCAAATATACGAGATGTGTTCAACAAAACCACAAAGGAAGGGATAAAGAATGGAAGAGGAGGGAAGAGAAAACAACTAAAAAGCTCACCAGTCTGCTTGCGTGATCCTTCAAACCATCAATCCAACTGTAGCCAACTCCATCACTGAACTGTTCCTTCTGCCTATACAAGATATGCTAAAAACGGAAAGCAGATGAAGATCAACTACTTGATCATAATGTCTTTTCAAACATCATTTTATTATATATATCACACACACATATATAGGTTTTACACATGCATGTGTTTTACGTGAATATATAAGTGAAAGGTGGGAGGAGTGTGTACATATAATACCCTTATATGTACAACAACAACAACAACAACAACAACATCCCAGTATAATCCCACCAATGGGGTCTGGGGAGGGTAGTATGTACGCAGACCTTACCCCTACCCCGAGGGGCAGAGAGGCTGTNATGCTTCCATCGGCTCGGCCCCAAAGTTGCACTCGAGATATTCCGTCTTCGTCCTGCTCAGCCTGAAACCTTTAGACTCAAGGGCATGTCTCCAAACCTCTAGCCTCTCGTTGACGCCGCGTCGTGTCTCGTCAATTAGGACTATGTCATCAGCAAATAACATGCACCATGGCACCTCCCCTTGAATATGATGCGGTTATAGCATCCATCACCAAGGCAAATAGGAAAGGGTTGAACGCAGACCCTTGATGCAACCCCGTAACAACCGGAAAATGGTCGGAGTTGCCTCCTACTGTCCTAATTCGAGTCTTAGCTCCATCATACATGTCTTTAATCACCCTAATGCAGTCAACCGGGACCCCTTTAACCTCTAGGCATCTCCATAGGACCTCCCTAGGAACCCTGTCGTACGCTTTCTCTAGATCAATAAACACCATGTGGAGATACCCTTATATGTGACACATATAATACACATCTCATACATTTGTGCATAAGTGTACACAATGTATTGGGAGTCTACTGCCTGTTTATGCAAATGAATAAACAAAGATTTTGATTTTGGACCTGATACAAGAAAACAAACAAACCTTTGGCAGATAAGGATTCTGATCATCGTCAAAAGCATTGCGTAGAACCCACTTTTCTATTCTTCCGAGATCAGGTCTGATCTGCAATGTTTCAAGAAAAGTTCTTCAGCATACTATAGTCACCGCAAAGAGATGCATTAATTTGTAATTAGGATTATACTAGATGTACAGATGAGATCAGCACATCAGCAACATTTTAATGAGGTTATGGGTATGAAGCCATTTTCTGTCCCATATATCAGACCCATTCAACTAACACTGACTTGTAATATGGAGATAAAATACTTGAGTGTACCTTCCATTGTTTTATTTGGCAGATATTCTCTAGACCTAACATAGATCGCAGCAAGTTTGAGTCTAGAAATAGCTTGCAGAACCTCAAAGGGGCCAAACAGAATTAATCAAGATCCAAAAACACTCTTCATCTATCCAGAGATAAACACAGGAAAGTCGGCACATCATGAATTCACGGTGGAACAACATTGAAAACTTTCTTATTTTTTAATAATGGTGGTTTTGAGTCAGCTCGTGTGCACCTGCACTAATCTACCAGGTACCTGCTAGCTCTAACTAGCTCATATACTAGTTAACTCTATCTACCAAGGCTTAAACGGATTAGAAGAGTTCACCTAGTATTTTTTTTAACCTCAGATTTGAACCCTGGTCTCCCATGACATTGAGGACTATTTTTTCTGCATAACTTGTGTCATTTTTGTGTAAAATGTCATTTTACCCCCTTCTTCCTTGAAGGAAAAAAAGAATCTCTCTTTTCAATTCTTTTTTTTTTT